AAGTATGTCAGATGAAGCTTCAGCATACTTGCCTTCAAGGAGAATCCTGGCTTCAGCCTCTCCAGGACAAACTTGATTGTTCTCCTAGTAGTCCATGGTATATTCAATACTCTCCTCCAGCACCAAAACTCAAAGGCATCAATTCTCCGTCTGTCATCCCTAGTCATTGTCCAGCTCTCTGATGCATAACAAGTGATTGCAAAGACCATGGCCTGTATCAGGTGCACCTTAGTCTCTAGACTAACATCGTTGCTCCTCCATACAGTAGACTTTCCTAGTGCAACTCGTCTTTTAATTTCCAGGTTGCTGGTACCAAGAGTGTTGATTGTAGAGCCAAGCAAACTGAAATTGTCAACGATCTCAATATCTTCAACATCTATCATGATGCTGCCAATTAGCCCAGTGGTGAGAATCTTTGTTTTCTTCATGTTGAGCTTCAATCCATATTGAAGGCTGCAGTCCTACTGACCTGATTAATTCAAGATGCGGAAATCGTTCAATAGAGGGTGGGGGTTAATTTGAATTGGGGAGACTCAAATTAACCAGATCACTGATTTGATCAATTCAATTATCTTTCTCTGTAGAATTTATGGCACCTCTTCTGTCAGTCTCCACTCTGGAAGTTGGCTGGTTGGCTGGCGTCTCAATGGTGGTCTCGTCTTGGTGGCAGTCAGGCAAGGGAAGTTTCTGGGTCCTTTTTGTTGTGTATTACTGTTCTTTTTTCTCCCCATCAAAGGGAGGTGGGCCTTGAGACTTAGACTAAGGGTAAGGGTGGAGGCCTGCTAGAGGGTGTGACTTTAAAATCTATGATGAGGTGATGGGTCTTTAGCCTGGCCTGGGTCTTGAAGTCTCCCTCCACTCCAGAAGTTGGCTGGCTGGCTGATGTCTTGATGGCAGTCTCATCTTGGTGGCAGTTAGGCAAGGGATGTTTCTGGGGTCCTTTTTATTGTGTGTTACTGTTCTTTTTTCCCCTCAAAAGTGGGTGGCCCGTGCACCTTAGACTAAGGGTAAGGGTGATGGCTTGCTGGAGGGTGTGACTTTAAAATTCTGTAGGGCCCGAGGGCCGTAAATTTATTAATTTTAGAAGAATATTCTTTTAAAGACACAGCAATCATTTGTCTATTTACTGTACTGGACAACTTGGAGTTCCTGTGATCCTGAACACTATTCCATAGTCATGTCAGATACCATGATGGTTACCTATTATGTACGATGCTTGGATGAGCTAGATTGATTCATGTTGGGAAGCAGGAGTGGCATTCACTTCCTAAACTAGGTGCCTCTGCAAAGTCTACAAACTATAAATGTACAGAAATGATGTTAATTAGAGAACAGAGTTCGGATCTTTTGTTCAAAGCTTACTCTGAGTCATGTTTGACTCAACAACACTTAACCACTGCTAAATGAGACTATGCTGTCATATCTGGAGGAACATTCTTCCACTTTGCACTTAATTCTTTGTCAATGAGGTAATCTGGATTCACTATGATGCTGACCCTTGTGCCATGGGGATATCACATACAATAATGGTCTCCCATTGTGGAAAGTGTTTGGTGGTGCTCCCAGTTGTAAATCACATTGGGAAGCAGGAGTGCCATCCACTTCCTAAACCACATGCCTCTGGAAACTCTATGAACTTGATGAAACAAGGATAGCTATGGAGAGGCATTAAGTCTTTTGTTCATAGAGTTGCTATGAGTCAACCTCAACGGCAATCAACAACAACATTCTGTCAGTAGAAAGAGCAGTCTTGGTTTACTAGCCAAAGATTCGTCTGGATTTTGTACTGTGGGTTTTTTTTGCCAGTGAATTCTTAATGTGTTTCATAAAAATACTTTGCACTCAAAGTTTCTCCTAGCTAGATGTTATCCACTAAATTGAATGATTTCAGAGACTATTTTTTAGTAGATATTGTTGTTGTTGGGTTCCAACAACAAGTTTGGCCCATAGCAACCCTATGAACAACAGATCTGAATCCTGGCCTGGCCTGTGCCATTCTCAAAATCTCTGACATACCCAAGCCAATTGCCACAGTCACGTGTCAATCTATCTTGTTAAGGTTCTTTTCTTTTGCCGACCCTCTACCATGGTCTGCTAGGAGAACAAACAGGTTTGTCCTGGGGAGGGTGAAGCCAGAATGTTCCCTGGAGTCAAGGAATTCTGAAGCTTCGTCTGACATATTTTGGGCATGTTGCAAGGAGAGACTGGTCCTTGGAGAAGGACATCATGTTTGGTAGAGTGGAGGGGCGGTGAAGGAGAGGAAGACCTTTGATGAGATGGATCGATTCTGTGACTAGAGAGGTGGGAATAAGTGCATTTGAGATGGCTAGGATGGCACAGGAGAGAGGAGCGTATAAAGCTCTTGTACATAGGGTCACTATGAGTCGCAAGCGACTCGATGGCACATAACAACAACAACAACAACAACTTACCAATATGCTCATAGTATGTGAAAACAAGCTTTATCACCTTTGCCTCCAAGGAGCACTCTGGCTGCACCCATTTCCAAGATTTATCTGTTCTTTTGGCAGTACTCTTCTTTATTCAAAGGCATTGATTCTTCTTCTGTCATACTTACTGTCTGGCTCAGATGCACAGCAAGTGATTGATCAAAAAGACTATGTCCTGAGTCAGGCACACCTTGGTCCTCAAACTTACATCATTGCACCTCAATTATTTGGAGAGATATCTAACTGCAGACTTCCCCTAATCTCCTGACTGCTGATATCATGGATGTTGATTGTGGACCCAAGCCAGATGTAGTCATTGACCATTTCAATTTTTTTCTCTGTAATGATGTTGTCTATCAATCCAGTGGTGAGAAATTTTGTTTTCTTGACATTGAAATGCAATCTATATTGAAGGCTGTATTATTTGATTTGCAGTAAATGCTTTAAGTCCTCTTCACTTTCAACAAGCAAGGCCGTATCATCTGCATAATGCAGAGTGTTGTTGTTGAGTCTTCCTCTGATCCTGATGTCACATTCTTCTTCAGAATCCAGCTTCTTGAATAATTTTCTCAGCAAACAGATTAAATAGCATACAGATTGCAGGTATCATTAAATACCTCCAAACTGCTGGCTTCCCCTCCCTAAATAACCCTAACAGAGACTTCTTCCTATAAAGCACATGATAAGGGCTTTTCTTGGTGGTGCTGACTTGATTTTCTATTTGTTTCACATTATGTAAATGTCTTCTACACGATAATCATCCCTAGAGTAACCTATGACATTTTTAATCACTTAATAATAATTTTGATTCTTACACATTTTTTGCTGTTGGATCATGGCATGGTGCTTTATATCATTTTGTTTGAAAATAAATAGAACCATTTTTTTAACGATTTCTAAAGAGAGAGGAGAAATGTGGCATCAGGATTGGAGGAAGACTCATCAACAATCTGCGTTATGCAGATGATATAACCCTGCTTGCTGAAGCTGAGCCCTTGTTGCAGAAGGTCAAGGACTGTAGTCTTCAATATAGATTGAAGTTCAACATCAAGAAAACAAAGATTCTCACCACTGGACCAATTGGCAGCATCAGGATGGATGGTGAAGAGATTGAGATTGTACACAGCTTTAGTTTGCTTGGCTCCACAGTCAACACTCTTGGCACCAGTAGCCAGGAGATGAAAAGGCTTATTGCCGTGGGAAAGTCTGCTGTTAGGGACCTCTCCAAAGTACCGAAGAACAATGGTGTCTCTCTGGAGACTAAAGTGCGTCTGATACAAGCCATAGTCTATGCAATCACTTGTTATACATCAGAGATTTGGACAATGACTAGGGAGGATAGAAGGAGAATTGATGCCTTTGAGCTGTGGTGTTGGAGAAGAGTGTTGAGGGTACCATGGACTGCTAGGAAAACAAACAGATTCATCCTAGAGAGGGTTAAACCAGGCTGCTCCTTGGAGGCAAGGATTTTGAAGCTTCATCTGACATACTTTGGACATGTTGCAAGGAGTAACCAGTACTTGCAGAGGTATGTCATGCTTGGGAGGGTGGAGGGACAGCACAGGAGAGGAAGAACCTCTATGAGGTGGATTGATTCAGTGACTGAGGTAGTGGAGTTTAATGTGTCAGAGACAGTAAGATTGGCACAGAAGCAGGGTTTGGGGATGTTGTACGTAGGGTCACTATGAGTCACAGGCAACTTGACGGCACATAACAACAACAACAAAGAGAGGAAAGCCTAAACAGCTTTTCAAAATGCATATGACATAAAAATGGACAATCAGCCAAGAAATGGTTTTGGATATTGTAGAGACAAAGCAACTGGTGGATTGAGTGATTTTTTTTTCATCCATCAGGAGGTACTCTAACACTATGTAGCATAGTCTCAGTAACATGCACAAAATAGAGAATCACCACGTGTCAGAGCTATGTGTTAAGGCCAGGCTGTTTGAATTATTACTCCTTGGAGGTGAAAGCAGCCCTGTCGAAGTAGAAAAGATTTGTTGCCTCAGTGCCTCAATGATATTAAATCTAGAGGAGTGAATTCAAGTTTGTGCTTTAGGGAACATGCACATACTACTTATTTGTCATGCCCTAGAGTCTCTCCAGTTGCAGAGACACACATTCTGGGAGAAAATTGACAAAATTTGTACAGATCTTGCTGCATAAGTGGTCGGGGGGAAGGGTAGAGCGCCACTAAACATTAACTTTTACTTTATAATGCCCCTCTGTCCCCCAGGGGGTTAAAACACACAACTGCAGAACATTTCCCGCCCCACTTGCCCTCTACCTACTGTCACTTAAGACATGCAAACACCAATATAATTCCTCCACCTCCCACTCTTCAGTGCCAGTTCCGTAAGCATTACCCAAGCATGCCGGGAGATACAGAATTGATGGCAAGGAGTATCCACGTGTCTTGGATTCTCTTTCCACTCTGTTCTGTTCTCTCAGTGCCCTCTCGTTGATAGGTGTTGGCAATAGACGTAGCAAACAAACTGCCTCTGCACTGAGCAGACAGAGCATTGGAGATTGAAGTGTCCAGGAGAAATGTCTCATGAAAAGCCTCAGCTACCTAATCAGACTTTTATATCTGTCACAAATGATACAGAATCCTCAAGCTCTGTCATTTCTAATGACACTGTTAGAAAGAAAGGCTGGGCTGAAGACAATTCTCCAGGAATAGAAGTATTATGTGCCATCTATATCACATATGCTGTGATAATTTCTGTAGGCATTCTTGGAAATGCTACTCTCATCAAAGTCTTTTTCAAAACCAAGTCAATGCAAACAGTGCCAAATATTTTTATCACCAGCCTGGCTTTTGGAGATCTTTTACTTCTGCTAACTTGTGTACCGGTGGATGCAACACACTACCTTACAGACGGATGGATGTTCGGAAGGATTGGTTGTAAGGTGCTCTCTTTTATCCGGATTACTTCTGTTGGTGTGTCAGTGTTCACACTGACAATTCTCAGCGCTGACAGGTGAGTTTCTTTTCCATTCTCTTTGCTAAGGGGTGAAATTAGATAAAATTTAAAAAAAAATAAGAGAGAACTTGAGCTTAGCAATCACAGACTGCCCTTCTGCTTTTCTCACATTCGGTATCGGGGATGCCGGATCGGAGAATCAATCGGGTGGCATTCTAAATCAAAGTTGGCTATCAGGATGTTAAAATCTCTGTGTTAGCATCTGAGGAGATTATAGCCTATCTAAAAATTGCACACTTTAGGGATAATTTCCTCTCTTCTGAAGTGTAATTGTTTCTTTGAAAGAATAATGAATGGTGGTTGATTCTTCCCAGTTTATCAAGTAAAGCAAATTCTCAGGTCTAGAAGGGGGGAAACATGCTTTATACATTAGTGCTGCCTAGTGGTATAATACAGTCAGTGTTAAAACATTAGCCTAGGTGTGAAATTGACTACATATGCATTGCAGTCTATCTGGTAAGTAGTACCTCAGACTGATTTGAAATTTCATCAAATGAGTTAATGAGAGAAAAAACGGCGGGGTTTCAGTTTCCTAGTAACTGTGTAATGTTATCACCTAATTATTTTCTCTATAAGCTTTCAAAAAAAGCCCTGCTGGCCTCATGTTTAAGTGTTCGGCTGTGAAAAGTTTGGCAGTTCAAACCCATCAGCAGCATCATGGGAGAATAACGTGGTAGTCTCTTCCCAGAAAGATTTCATCTTGGAAATTCCATAGGGCAGTTCTACTCTGCCCTATAGGATAGATATGAGTCGGCATGGGCTTGCTTAATAGCAATGGGACTGGGTGGGTATAGGCATTTATTGACATGCTCGAGAGAAATAAATGAAAGCTATTTGCCTGTGAGAATGCCTATGGATAGCACACAGGTGAGCCAGGGGGCTCAGGGTCTGTGTGAGAGGATGGTCAATCTAAGTCCTGCTTTTTTCTATGTTCCTACCATAGAACACTAATTGTGAAAGCACAGAAAGAATTAAGGCGCCAAATGTTAAAAGCGATGCTTTTAAAACTCTGCAAGTCTGTATGTAGTCAGAGCCATGTAGGATCATAAGGGACAGGTTTTTTTTCTTTCTTTCTTTCTTTTTAGATTTTTGAATCAGAGAAGAGGCAAGCCTTTCCTGCCTCTTTTTTTTTTTTTTTTTTGTTTTGCTTAGCTGATCTTAACATTCTGTTGAAGTGTTGACCCATGGAAAGGTTGCAGATTCTAAGGTGGATTTGTTGGGACGTGGAAGCATTTTTGCACAGGGCTTCCTAATTCTGTTGGTGATTTGGCTCAGCAATGAATAAGTTAGCACTTAAGAACGGGGAAGAAATTAAACCTTGCCTCTTTACTGAAACCTACGGAGTTCTTTCCTAGCAAGGGTCAGTGTCTTCATGCAGAAAGGGGGGAAAAAAAAATCCCTTCAGCAGCAGCCACTGCCCAGAAAAGGAAGTCTTTTAGAACACTTAAGGTAATGCCTAGGCATAAATTACTCTCAACCACACGTGAACTCACCTCTGAAAACATTTCTTTGTCCTGGAGGATAGAAAAGAAATGTAAACAAAATAGGAACTTCCTATGCAAACTTCTCAAATTGCAAATCTGGAAGGCTGCTTGCCAGTCCATAAGGGGAAAAGGTGACTGGCATAAACAAAAAGACGGAGCTGTCTTATGGGTAGTGGAAACCATCACCACTTGATTGGCAAGCATCACTTTGGCTACAATGCAGAGGGGTAGCAGGTTGAGATACATGACAATCAGGGTCCCATCCCAAGATTCCATCATTTTTACACCTTTTTTGCTTCTTCTAGATACAAGGCAGTTGTGAAACCCCTGGAAAGACAGCCCTCCAATGCCATCCTGAAGACTTGCGTGAAAGCTGGCTGTGTCTGGGTGGTGTCTATGATAATTGCTTTGCCAGAGGCTATCTTTTCCAACGTATATACGTTCCAAGACCGCAACACAAATGCCACTTTTGAATCGTGTGCTTCTTACCCTGTATCTGAGAGGCTTCTGCAAGAGATTCATTCTCTGCTGTGCTTCTTGGTGTTTTACATTATCCCACTGTCTATTATTTCTGTCTATTATTCTCTGATCGCTAGGACACTCTATAAAAGCACGCTGAACATCCCCACTGAGGAGCAAAGGCACGCTCGCAAGCAGGTACGTGTAGCAATCAGGACACGTGTACTGAGGTAGGTATTAATGAAGGGCGAAGTGAAAGCCCTGCTTTTGCACCTGTGAGTTCTTAAGTATAATAGCAGCAGCAGCAGCATATTTTAGGTTAAGATAATGGGCTCCGGAGTCTGTCAGACCTGGGTTTCAATCTCAATGTTTGATCAGTTGAACAATTTTGAGCAAGTTATTTAACCTCTCAGTTACATGAGGACCACACGATAAAAAGTGAAATGATTAACATGGTGCCTCGCACAGAGGAAACTTTCAACGAATGACACTCCCACTAGTATTAGAGAAGGGACAACTGAAGTTTGGGAGCAGTATAAATAGGGTGTGAGCCTCTTCGACTACAGAAGGAATGTGGCACAAGGAGAGACTTTTTAGAAGTATAACAGCATTCTAGAAATAGCACAATCTGAGAGAGTTGGCAAGAATCCATAAAATTATTCAATCTAAACCACACAGATGAGCAAACTGAGGTCCAGGGGGAGGAAGTGCAAAGTGGCAAGAAAACACAGTGACTCACAGAAGCTTGATTAAGATCACTGCAAGAGCCAGGTGCGCTTTCCTGGCATGAACACGGGCAGAATACAATTAATTAACGCTGACAGAACCCACTCCCAGTGGATTAAAAAAAAATATTTTTTTTTTTGCAGGGGGTAGGATAAGATTACAGGGTTCCATTCCTCTCTCATTTCAGTACACAAAGAGTTAAGTACCTTTTTGCTAGCCCATTTAGGTGGTTCAACTGGGCTTAACGTCCATTTAAAGTCCCCATGATCTTTGCTCTGTGACCACAGGCTGTGTGTATCTTTACTTAACGTGCTTCCATCGCTCTCATTAATAGATGTGGTTAAGATTATTGTCACATGCCAAGGACAGCAAAATTGGGCTGTATTCCTTTGATGAGATGGTTAGAATCCCTTTAGAGAAGCAATTTCTGACAGCAATTTGGGAACTTACAAAAACCCCAGATGAATACTCTAATCAGCCTCTCCTGAAGCAGGAAAAGTAGTATTGTATAGGTCCTTCATTTTTAAAACTGAAATGAAATGTTGGAGAATTCCACAGTCCTCCTTGAGTTAATTGCAGATATCTAGAGTGTCTTAAAAGCAGGGGTGGGAGTGTCTGAATTAGCGTTAATGAGACTAAGCTCATGGATGAACTTGCTTGCTCTATTCTCTAGCCACAGGCTGCAGAATACAGCACACCCCAGCCTTACCACCTTACAATGCACACTCGAAGTGAGACCCATTTGTTCATTGTCAATGTCTACATAAATCAGAGAATGACTTCTTATTACAATGCCCAGAAGAGTCTCTCCTAACTAATTACGGTGTTTGTTTTTGTCTTGTGTTGTTGTTTTTTGTTTTGTTTTTAATCTTTCTTAAGATTGAATCCCGGAAGAGAATTGCCAAAACGGTGTTGGTGCTGGTGGCTCTGTTTGCTCTCTGCTGGTTGCCGAATCACCTGCTGTACCTCTACCACTCGTTCACCTCTCAAACCTACATTATGGACCCCTCTGCAATTCATTTCCTGGCCACCATTTTCTCTAGGGTCATGGCTTTCAGCAATTCTTGCGTCAACCCCTTTGCTCTTTACTGGCTGAGTAAAACCTTCCAGCAGCAGTTTAAAGCCCAGTTATTCTGTTGCAAGGTGAAGCATCCCGAGCCGCCCCCTGCGGCGACCCCTCTTAACAACCTGGCTGTGAGGGGCAGGGTCCCAGGTGCTGGCAGCTCACAGGTGTCTGAAATTAGTGTGACCTTGCTGGCTGGGTGTGGTGAGAGGATGGAAGATGACCGAGTCTAGCTTTTCAATGAAAAATGGTGTTTCTTTTCCTCCCCGTGTGTTTATCTGGCTAAGAGCTGTGGGTAGGTGCGTGGTGTCAGAATTTTGAGTTTGGGAATTGTGTGGAAAGGTTCCTTTAAGTAAAAAAAGAACCACGATTTTCCCCTCAAAGGGCAAAACATGACTGCTAGGGGGCTTTCTAGATCCAATGAAGACACACTGACTGTAGAGGGACACTTTTGTTTGTGCCAGCGGGTTGTAAGGGAGGTCAAATAGGAGGGAAGGTGAATGGAAAAACAAGATGAAACCTCAACCTGTTTCCATCACATCTGTGATGCTTCGAATTTCTTGTATACTCATGTGATTTGCATAAAATTGTGCTTGTGTTTATTACATGGTGTAAATCTAGAGATTATTCTTTGTACATGAAAAGGGGATCAGAAATGGAAAATGAGCATCCTTCAGTCATTTTTTAAAAAAGCAAAATCCTTTTAAAAAAGGCCTTTCCAGAATGGCTTCCCTTTGACATTAATCTCCATCCCACTATCACCAAGTCTGCAATTGAAATGTTTTAGGGCCAGCACGCATAAAGTACTGAGATGAAGTATTAGCCTTGCCAGGTTAACACATATTAATTTACTGTAGTTCAACTTAACAATCACAATACATTACTGAATTGGCCAGAATTCTTTTCACAAATATGGTGAAGAATTTGGCTATATCCATGGGCGAATAAGTGGCCTTGTCCATGGTATAATTTGAGGACCCCAGAGAAGGACCCTTGTTGAAAAATGCTCCAGCTTGTCAGCGTGTGACATTTTCCCTTGGAGTGAATTAATTTTTTCCCCGGTAAGCAGTGCCCTCTTTCTTAGGAAGTGCAGTAATACCACATGAGATTCCAGACACCTGAGTGTGCATTTGTCAGTTCTGATCCTCTTCCTGCTCAACTTTATAGTAAGCCTGGTGTGTGCCTAAACCCTGTAAATGTGACTTAATCTGCCCTTGCAAATCAGATGGAAGGAAGGCTCTGATTTTCTGTCTTCTCTCCTATTGCTATGAGCTTATTTATAACTGTGAGTGATTTCAAACAACTTGTCAATAGGTGTGTCAGATTTTAGATTTGTGTTGGTTCAGAAAACACTTTATTAAGGGTAAATTAAAGCATCTATTTGGTATTATAGTTCAATTTGTATTTAAGAGAAACCTTGTTGGGTGTGCTTTTGGTAGTTTTGAGCTTTAACTGACTTGTATAGTTTGTGAACTTTTGCTAATGATGTGGCTTAAAAGGGGGGTTGATAAGGGGACATATATTAACAATAAGTCTTTGATAAGGGGACATATATTAACAATAAGTCTTAAAATTTCTGTAAGATGGATTGACTTAAATTGGGGGTGCCAATATTGTATTAGCAATGCTTTAAGCTGGCCATTATAATAAGTGGGGAGAAAACAAATAAATATGAAATAAAGTTCTGAATGGCTCTCTGCAACTTTATATTCTAAAATAACACTTCTGGAAGAACATTAACTGGGAATTCATCTTCATTCTCTATTTTAATATTTTTTTAGTCACCAAACCCCAAAAGATTTGCATCATTTTCCTCTGAGTGGAAACCTCAGTACTCTCCTAAGCAGGACATTTCAGAATTAACTGGACAGAAGGTTATAAAAGTCTTTCAACAGCTGAGCAAAATGGCACACCAGCAATGTCCCTTTTCTTCATTCTGAGAAGTCCTTCGGTCATTTAGGGGCCTGATGTCAAATATTTCCCTAAATGTTTTTCTAGGGCTCAAGTCTCCTATCCAGAATTGAAGAACTGGAATTAAAATTACTATCTTTGTTGAATTTTTTTTTCCCTCAACAAAGGAGGAAGCAGTCTTTGTGTCTAAATCAGATTGTCCTTCTCAAGGTTAACCCAACATTTCTATCACTTTGCACATTGTGGGACCAGAAAGGTTCCTATGGAATATTTCCTTTGGAGAAGTTCCTTAATAGAGGGAGGTAGAAACCATGAAAACCCAACTTTGTAACCTTCTCAATTTTGCTTCTGCCCTGACCCAAAGTGTTAACCATTTCTAAGTCAGGATCCTCCAAGAATCAGGGCAAAAGCATTAGTTCTTGACATCACAGTAAGTGGGGATGGGAAAATTCATGAACACAGTGAACATGAATGAGCCCCTTAAAAAAAAAAAGTTTGACATAATTCAGTATTTTTCCAGAAAGATTACCTAAGCCAAATAGATGACTTCCTCAGTCTAGTGCTGTTTGAAGTTTAATGCACTTCTTATTTACCAAGAAGGGAGCAGCCTATGAAACTGGGAACACAGCATGGATCACTGCCTCCTAAAGTCAGAGAATGGAACAGATAGGGACGCAGTATGTTTTGGGTTCCTCCTCCTCAGAACATTCAGTGCTACTAAATTAACAGGGGACCTCCCCCCTCTTTGTAACTTCTTTGTATTGTATTGCCATGGATTGAATTATGTTTCCTCAAAGTAAATGTCAACTTGGGCCTCTCCTCCTTATTTCCTTTTAGGGAGGAAGGTACATCCCTTTGATATATAACTTTCTAGTATTTTTTTTTATTTCTATTGATTCAGTGTTGCACTTTTCTCCCTGCCCAACCTCCCCCACCCCAGTTTGCTCTTTGAAAAGTAAAATTCCCCATTGTTTTACAATCCCTCCCCCAAGGTCAACTCCACTGTGCAGCCTTCCTTCTGGACTCCTGTCATGACAATACCTAATCACATATCCCTTTTCAACAGTTCTCTCCCTCATCTGTTTCAATGCAGTATATGTAATTTATTCCATCTTTCTCAGTCTCCCCCCAACCCCGATGTCAGTCCCATTTTACAACAGCGGCACTATGCAGTATTTGTCCTTTTATAACTGAGCTATTTCACTCTAGCATACATAATGCCCTCCAGGGTCACCTATTATTTCATGAGTTCCTTGTTTTTCAATGCAGCATAGTATTCCATTGTGTGAATATACCACATCTTCTCCATCCATTCATTTTTTGATGGGCACTTGGGTTGTATCCAACTCTTTGCTATTGTGAACAAAGCCATGATAAACATGGGTGTGCATGTAATTGCTTGGGTGGCAGTTATGATTTCTTTAGGGTATATCCCCAGTAGTGGAATTTCTTGGTCAAATGGTATTTCTATTTGCAACTTTTTGAGAAAGCACTACACTGCCTTCCATAGTGGTTGCACCACTTTACACTCCCACCAACAGTGAATAAGTATTCCAGTTTCTCCACAACCTCACCAGCATTTGTTATACTGCTCTGTTGAATTTTGTTGTTACTGGGGTGAGAGGATATCTCATAGTAGTTTTGATTTGCATCTCTCTTAGAGCTAGGGATTTGGACATTTCTTCATGTGTTTGTGGGCCATCTGAATGTCTTCTTTGGTAAAGTGTCTGTTCATATCCTGTGCCCATTTTCCTATTGGGTTGTTTACCTTTGTCTTGTTGTGGTGCTTGAGTATTTTACAAATTCTAGATATAAGTCCCTTATATGATATGTCCTTACCCAGTATTTTTTCCCAGTTTGTGGCTTCCCTTTTTATCCTGTTGGAGAAGTTTCTGGATGTGCATTTATCTTTACTTTTAACCTTAAAAAAAATTCAACTTGTTAGGGTCCTAAGCCTCAAAAATAAAATAAAAAAGATCTCTAGTGGTACAATGGTTAAGTGTTCAGCTGCTAACCAAAAGGCCACCAGTTTTCTGTTGCTACAAATAATATGATCTTGGGAGCCCAATGAGGAAGATCTAGTCTGACCCGATGGTTAAAACTGACTCAATAGCGCCCAGCAACTTTTACTTGTGATCTTGAGTAGTTCAGTGACTCCAAAATAATCTCAAAAAAGATTATGGAGAGACATACTATGAAAACAAACAAACAAACAAAAACCCAAACCAAACCCATTGCTGCCGAATCCATCCCACTCACGGCAATCTCATGTGCAACTCAGTATAACTTCTGCAGGGGGTTTCTTTATGGATTACCAAAACTCTCTTCTGTGGTACTGCTGGGTGGGTTCGGCCCAACTGCCAATCTTTAGTATTGAGTGTAAACCATGTGTGTCACCCAGAGACCTTAGGATACTACGGGAGGACCTCGATTACCTGCACAGCTGCTAATCAAGAGGGTACATGTTCAAGCCCACCATGATCTCATCAGGCCTGGCAATCTACTCCTGAAAAAAAAAAATCAGCCCTTGAAAACCCCATGGATGAGACAGAGATGCACTTTGAAATACATGAATAAGAATCAATTTGACAGGAACTGATTTTATTCTAGAAATACACAGGAAAATAAGAACAGGAACAGGAATGTGTTCGAATATTGATAGACAACTGTCAGATCTCATGGCCAAGCAGAAAGCCATGGAAGGCAAAACCAGTTTAGCTCTTAATTCTCTTGCTCTGCTCTAACAGTAACTCTGTCCCTCTGGTGGTGGTGCAGTGGATTACGTGTTGGGATGTTAACCACTCTGAGGAGAAAGATGTGGGGCAATGTGTTCCCCATAAAGATTGACAGCCTTGGAAACTCTGTGGGGCAGTCCTACTCTTGCCTTTAGGATTGCTAAGCATAGGAACTGACTTGATGGCTGGGGGTTTGGCTTTTGACCTACTGATGCTACTTTAGCTTCTCCTTTCTCCTGAGGACTTTCCCCATGGCAGCCATCTGGTCTGCTTTTCTAATGATGTCCTGTTGTGCACACTCCCTGGGAGAGGCTCAGATGGGCGCTCTCATCAGTAGAGTTGCACTGCTAATGCAAAGGCCATGCCTGACAGTTCCAATTCACCAGTCACTCCATGGAGAAAAGATAGGCAATCTCCTCCCAGGAAACTTATAGCCTCAAAAACCTGATGGAGGATCAACTATGAGTCTGTTTCAACTAAAGTCAATGAGTCTAGAATGCACAGCTACCCTGAATCGCACAGGATTCTGGCCAGCCTCTGGGTCAGGAAAGATGGGTCACACGAGACCTAGGCATAAGGAACGTTTTTTGGCTACCTGCTTAAAAGGGATTTGTGGGCACAGCAGGACTCAGAGCCTCGTGTGCTATGGGACTGTGTAGCATATTCTCACTTATTCTGTGAGCTCACACAGGAAGCTCTGGTACCCTAGTGGTAGCTATCTTCCTGGAAGATTCAAAAAGCATGACTTCTAGATGACAGGCAATTTCTTTACTACTAGGTCGCCAGAGCTCCCTGATCATACTTACACTGTATTTGAAAAATGCATCCAAGTTCAGTCCTCTAAGCAGTTCTGCCATGCTCCCTCAACAACAACAAAGCCTTCACAGAGCTAAAAGTAATTTTAAAAAGTAAAAAAATTTCTCTTTAGGAAGTACCTCTCCTGGATTGTACCCGCCTTGGTGACAGCTTGGTTACTAGAACCTGACACTCCGTGGGCACTCAAAAGCTTTTTGTGCAATTTAAAAAACAGAGAACTCTGGTAATGGCTCTTCTTTTTCAACCGTGTGTCTGATTTCTGGCCAAAGCTGTGACCTGACTTGGTGAGGAAAGCTGGTGTTTACACTTGGAAATGTGGAGCTTCCGAAGCACAAGTATGTACATAAGGCAGTAAGTGCGGTCCCGCTTCACTCCCCAAAGTCGAGCCACAGCCTCGGGAAGGAAAAACTAACCAACAAATGGGATGGTGAGAGCTGGAAAAGAAGGCTGGCCCTTCCACTCACCACTCGCCCATTCATGCATCCACTCACTCATTCAACAGGCACCAGGTACCAACTCTTGTGTTGGGCATGCAAACTATGTTTGTAAACTGGCGCTTGTATTAAAAGAACTCACAAATAGGCAAAAGGCACACTTCCAGCGCAGGGAGAAAGGCTTAGGGTACAACAGCCCTGTCTGTTTCGTTCCATGAAAAACTTATCCCCTCCCAAGATGGCGGCGCCGAGCACTGTGCCCATACCTTCGGGTTACCCCCATTCTCCCTGGCCTGACCACCAAGACCCGCTGCCGACCCCGAGCTCCGGTAGGACAGGGCCGGCCATCGCCCTTCGCTGGGGCCTCAACGGGCCTAAACAGCGTCCAAGCGCGGGAAGCTACGCTCCACCTCCCGCCCTAGACCTCGTGCCACTGCGGGTGCGTCGGCGCATGCTGACGTCATCGGAGGAGTGACGGCGCGACTTACGACGTCGCGACGCGCCGACAATGGCGGCGGCGTGCGGCTGAGTTTCGGCTAGAAGTCATTTCTCGACGTTGCCGCGGGGGCCGCAGTC